AAAGTTCATTATTTTAGAATTATATAAAACCCGCAAAAATCTCGCTAAAACTTAGGACTCGGCTACGGTACAAAGTGCGGGATTATTTCCAAAGCAAACCAAATTTGTATGATATAAGTTTGTGTTTTTGATTTATGTATTTACATTTACATGTTAAACATGAAGCATTATATTTACTATTCTGAAATCGATTCGGACTCGTAATAAAACCGATAAAACTGATGATTTTTATGTAATTGGGTTTGGTTTTAAAATAAAAAACTCATCATTTAAAAATTCTATAAACCCGTAAAAACTGCTAAAATCTGAATATAACTTGTTATGTTATTTTATATTTATTAATTGGTGTAGTAATTTTATTATGAATATAAATTTATTTCTTATTATATAAATGAAAATTGAATTAGTATTCGTTTTTAACTATTTAATATTATTTATGAATTTTATTATTTAAACATAAATATTAAAAAGATATGTATATTTAATTTTTAAATAAAAGATACCAAAAGATATTACTAAAATTTAATCTTAGGAAAAGATACTTAAGAATATCTTTTTAGATATCTTATTTTGAAAATATTAAAATAATTGGTTAGGCATAATCTACATTTAAACGATAATTTAGTTAGTTATAAGAGAATAAAAAAGAAATTAAATAAATGTAATAGTATAACATATACTGTTTATAAATAGATATAATGTGTTCATGTTTTAGTAGTATTGATAACATAGACGGTTTACAAGTAGATAAAATGTGTTCATGTTTTAATATTGACTAGATTTTGATCCGCGCAACCGCGCGGGTGTTTGTTTTCATTTATAGTTAGTTATATAAACATTTTGTTTTCACTTGTAGATTGGTATATATTATAGTAATCACATATTTACGATATGTATAGTAAATGTTTTTCAAACATAATAGTATTATATAATACGTGTTTTAATCAAATAGATTGTTTCAAATTTTCTATATTACACATGTTTTTCGAACATGTGTTTGTTTTTCTTCTATATTTTATTGTTTGTAATTAATATTTTATTTTTAGATAAAGTAATATAAATAGAGTTTGATTAAATATTAGTATACTTTAATTTTGCAAAGATAATATAAATTTCGAAGAAATTTTTGCTAAAAACTAAACTTATAGCTTCATAAATTAATATTATAAAGAATTTTATTAAAAAAGAATTTTTTTTAAAAAAAAATTAATAATATAATTTTAAAAATTTACATCGAAATAAATTTATCTAATATATATAGCATGTAAATTTTGTTAGGGTATATAAATATTTCATATTACGAATCTGTGATTTTTGTTAATATATTGTGGATGCATTTAACTATTATTGATATATTTTCTTATAAATAATAGAAGATTTTTAAACTTATATCTATTGACATATTTTGCGTGACAAAATTAGAAAGTGTGAGGTAGTTTATCAAAACCAAATTGTTAAGCGTATCTTTGTTATTATAGATATGATTTTTCATAAGATATAATAATGCTAAGATTATTAGAGAGTTAATGTAACATGACTTTTTAGTAATAGTCCATTTTTAAATAAATCACATATGAAGTTAAGTCATGACTTCTATTTTAATATATAAGATTAGACAACAAAAATCTGGTATTTTGGTTAATATTTGCTTGCAGTTGTGAGTTGGCACAGTATTCGTTTTCGCTGATTTCACAATTATACCAAACCAACTCATTCTCAGCTAGCTTTAAAGAAAAAAACGAAATCAACAATGGACCAATGAATTTCATTTGGGATAATAGCTTTAACCAGGAACCGGAAAATCCGGTGACTTCATTATCCCAAATAACCAAGAAAAACAGTTGTCTTCCCAATTCACCCACCACGTGTATTGACAGTACGGAAGTGTTATCACGTTCGGATTTCTGTATGTAAATGACTTTAATACCCTCCGTTATTACAGTAATTTCTGTTTCAAGGGAACGCGTTATGGGAAACGCCGTTTAATGGGTTTAGCAGCGTTCGGTTGAACCACCTAACAACCACCGCTTTCTTTCACACTTATACGAGTTCCCTTATCTTTTCTTGTTCGGAATATTATTTCGTTATCTTTATTTTTTATCAACTTAGATGTATTAATTAGATAATAAACATGTTCACAAATACATACATAATATTGAAAAACAACAAAATACATAAATAAAAAGATGAGAACAACATCCGATAACAATTCTTGTAATCTTTCATTTTTTGTCGCATTACGAACACATATTCTCTTTATTATATGAAATTGGTCTTGTTCCAGTTGATATATATATATATATATATATATATATATATATTTCAGTTTCAAATCCAATTTATTAATTCAACCATAAGAAGAAAAAAAAGTTGACAAGACCAATTATCAACAATTGTATGGACATCGTCATATAACAAAGAGAGTACATCTTCTATGTGTTGTCATTTTCTACAATAATTCAGTATAATATTTTGATACGAAATATATTGTATCAAAATATAAATTATGAATACTTTGGACAATAGAAGACTACTTCTTTCAATCTTTAGATTTTCTTCTACTTTTTGAATCCATGGCGGTTTCTTCAGTGGAAGTAACAAATCCAGTAAGATTTGTTTTGAACTTCGAATAGCCATTACATATTGATGATAACCTCTGGAAGCAAATACAAAACTAACAATAAGTGTTAGGTTTGACAAGGTTTCATCAAAAAATGCTGGAAAAAATCCAGTGTAATCTTTAAAAATTATACAAAGATAGATGAATGAACAAATGGTATAGAAACACATATACACATTTTTCTTTTGGAATTTTATTCCTAATCACATTATTGATTTTTTGTGGAGTTATGTCTTTGAAGATAAAATCGAAAAAGAGGAGAGAACAACTGGACATATGCATGTGGATCCTAAGAACACTCAGAGGAAATGGAAGAATGCAGATGTAGGGGTTGATCAAATCACCATTGAGAGAGAAAAACGTTCTCCGAGACTTTATTCTTGTAACTGTCCACTCTATTTTTTATGAATATTATTTCGTTATTTATGAAACATTTGATATTTAAAATCATAGTATGATACAAATCTAAATGTCACTATTACATGTCGATGAGATTATTGCTACGAATAATTACAATCATTGATTCATTGTTAATTAAGAGATAGAACAAATATTTGCCTATTTTCAGTCAGTTTAATATTTATTTCATAATAATCTAACATTGATAGTTTAAATTTTAATAAAACATATGATTGAATAATGATTTGAAACTTATTTATCTTCTTAACTGAAGAACAAGTGGCACTATAAAGTGACCACAAAAATTATCTACTTTTCTGTTTTACTATAATGATTTGAAACGTATTTTATATATTTTCTATATAAAAATACTAGTATCTATATACTGAACTATATTCCAACCAATAGAAAAATAAATTGCATAATAAATTTTACATTAAAAATGACATTTACTGTATAACAGAAAAAAAAAATTCTATTATAACACTTAATATGAAACGAAGAGAGTATTAATTATGAAAAGGGATTTAAGTTTATCAGTTGTGTAATTGTATTATTTATTATATCCCTTTCTGAATTTGTAAAATTCCTTCTCATTGGGGTATTCACTTATTTTTGAGTTGGCGACCAAAAAAAAAATTAATCCAACCGCAACAAGTGCGGCAAACGTTACGAGCGTTACCTAACATATATGGGTTGAGAAGAACTTCCGAACCTTCTCCATCCACCATCTATTTTTAGTTCATTTTTTTAATTATAAAACAAATTTGTTATATTTCCTCCGTTTCATATTAAGTGTCGTTTTAGAGAATTTTATTTGTTACAAAATAAGTGTCTTTTTCAATTTTCAATGCAAAATTTATTAATTTTACTCTGTAGCCTATTTTTCTATTGTTTGATATATGGTTAGTTGTATAGGTAATTGTATTTTTATATGGAAAATATGTAAAATTAATGGTTTTCTTAATACGTGTGCAAGAACTTAAAACTACATTTATAATGAAACAGAGAGACTATATACTACAGTATTTTTGTTTTTTAATTACGGTGGCCAGTAAGTAAGTATAAAACTATAAATTATATTTTCCGGTTTCCCAAAATTTCCTCTTTTCTCTCTTTCTCTAGGTCCTCTTCTAGCAGCCGGATAACCGTGTTGGAAAAAAAAAAGAATAACCGATTTTCCCCGGCAGTTATCCGTTTTTTTCCCGATTCAGTTACTCGTCGGAGGATTAGCTTTTGTTTTACATTCATCCTCTGGTGAGGATACTGCATAGGTTAATAATTTTGACGTTTCTGTTGACTCAGCTACGCGGCGATTCGGATCTCCGCGTTTGACTCGGTCCTCGCTCGCTACGCCGCGTTTTTGTAGAATGTGGCTTGCCTTGTTTGCATGCCAAGCTTTATATTGAATTATCTAGGGTTTTCGTCTTTGTTCTTTGCTTGTTGGGGGGGAAACGGTGGCTCACGGTAGCAGATTACGTAATGCGATGGTGAGAGATAGGTTCCTAGTTTCCAAATTTCGCTTGAATTTCGCTATTTAACGATTTATCTTAGATTAGATCTCGTACATTGCTCGAATTGCATTGTGGTTTGAGCTAATTTTTCTTCCTTGAATTGATTCTTCCTTGTGATCTCCGCTTCGTCAATGGATGATAATCTCGCACGCGTTATCTTTCTAATTTTAATTCGCACGTGCGAATTTGAGTCCTCTGTTGAAATGGCGACGAATCTCGCTTGGGGCTTGTGACTCGCTTTCTCCCACGGTGTTGAACTTTGAAACGGTCGCGTTCTTTGACTTTTAGTGGTATTAGTCAAAAGAGATGAGGCCTTTTATGTGGTAGTGAAAATGTGTTGACTGTTTCCATTTTTCTGTGTTCACTTTTTATTATTATTATTTTTTTGTATATATAGTAGTGTGAACTGAATCGTGGACCTATCGTACATTCTTGACTTTCTTGTATATATATGTAGAAATTTGGAGCTTTTAGTTAATGTTGAGACAATGTTTTGCCAGGCGGAGAGGAGGAACTACTTGTCGAAAGAGGTTATTGATGGGTTTGAGTATCTGAGACGTAAAAGGCTTCAAAAGATGAAATCAGGCTGTGTAAGCACGGTGGCTAGAAGTGGAGGTGATGCTACGAGACCATCTTCAGCTTCATGTGGAATGAGATTACGAGTGACTGCTAATGATACAGTAACTAGGTTGAATGGTGTATCTACTGGAAAAGGTGTCTTTTTGAAGGGGAAAGTGGAGAGTTTGGGGGTTGATGATCTTAAATGGACAGAGAGGGTTCCCGAATGTCCTGTCTACAGACCAACGAAGGATGAGTTTGAGGATCCTTTGACTTATTTGCAGAAGATTTTCCCAGAAGCTTCAAAATATGGTAATATTGGCATTGAAATCTAAAATTTCAGTATGCAAGGATTAGTACGGTAGGTGTAGAGTAGATACGTGCTATCTAATTTATTGCTTGCATATGTTAGTTGAAGCTATTGACTGTGTTGTGTTAAATATTAGCTAATGAGTGTAGTAAATGGGAAAAACACGGATTTACTGTTATCCCTTTATCGGCGTTTGACTTTTATCAATCTCGTTTACAGGTATTTGCAAGATCATATCTCCTTTGACAGCAACAGTTCCTGCTGGCGCTGTGTTGATGAAAGAGAAATCAAACTTCAAGTTCACCACCAGAGTACAACCCCTTCGACTTGCTGAGTGGGATTCTGATGATAAAGTTACCTTCTTCATGAGTGGGAGGTTTGTATTTAACCCTGAATAATTTTTTTTAGCTCTACATTTCACCTAGTAGTTTGTATTTGATTATTTGTAAATTACTCAGGACCTACACATTTCGTGATTACGAGAAAATGGCGAATAAGGTATTTGCACGTAGATATTGCAGTGGTGGCTCTTTGCCCGACTCATTCTTGGAGAAAGAATTCTGGAAAGAAATCGCATGTGGCAAGACTGATTCAGTTGAGTATGCGTGTGATGTAGATGGTAGCGCATTTTCATCTGCACCAGGTGATCCGCTAGGAAGCAGCAAATGGAACTTGAATGTAAAGATTTACTACAACTTGAGCTTCTCTATTTTTTGGTTAAGCACTAAGGAAAACATTTGCTCGGTAATTTGAATTTGGTACTTATATGTCTTATCTTTCCCTACTTTCAGAAAGTTTCAAGGCTGCCAAAGTCTACGCTGCGTCTTCTTGAAACATCCATTCCGGTATGTTACAAGTAGTACAGTTACATTAAGGTCTCATAAGAACCTTCTGTTTAGCCTCTTTTAACTGAGATCTACTTGTTTCAGGGAGTCACTGAACCGATGCTTTACATTGGAATGCTGTTTAGCATGTTTGCCTGGCATGTTGAGGACCATTATTTGTACAGGTAAGTTCAATAAATCTGTCTCAAGTAGATGTGTTACTAAGTATGGCCATCTAAAATATCTTGATCTAACTCTTTTATACCTTTTTTTCTTAACAGCATCAATTATCAACATTGTGGAGCATCAAAAACTTGGTATGGCGTTCCAGGTTCTGCAGCTCTAAAATTTGAAAAGGTGGTTAGTGAATGTGTGTACAGCGATGAGATTCTGTCAACTAATGGAGAGGATGGAGCCTTCGATGTGCTTCTAGGGAAGACAACTATATTCCCACCAAAGATTCTGTTGGATCATGATGTGCCTGTCTACAAGGCTGTACAAAAACCTGGAGAGTTTGTTGTCACATTCCCCAGAGCTTATCATGCTGGGTTCAGCCATGGTAAAACAATTTACTCTGAATCTATATTATCATTTTATCAGAAGAATTGTTATCATATTCATCTGAAATTTTGGCTGTGTTTTAACAAATATTGTAGGTTTTAACTGTGGTGAGGCAGTAAACTTTGCGATGGGTGACTGGTTTCCTTTTGGAGCCATTGCTAGTTGTAGGTATGCTCATCTTAACAGATTGCCATTGCTTCCTCATGAAGAACTGATATGTAAGGAAGCAATTCTCTTAAAATCATCTCCCAAACCGGAGAATCTGGATTTTACACCTGCGGAATTGTCAGGACAAAGAAGCATCAAGAGTGCCTTTGTGCACCTGATTCGTTTTCATCATCTAGCTCGATGGTCTCTAATGAAGTCAGGATTATGCACAGGCCTTGTTTCGAATACATACGGAACCATCGTATGCAGTTTGTGTAAACGGGATTGCTATTTGGCGTTTATAAACTGCCATTGCTACTCACATCCCGTCTGTCTCCGTCATGGTAAAGCCTCTTCTCTGTTATCTCCATCAACACATATCCTTCCCTAATGTTATTTATTTATCTATTTGGTGTTATTGTATCATTGCATAGATGTTAGAAAGCTTGACCTTCCATGCGGTACAACACGTACTCTTTTCTTGAGAGACAACATTGAAGTCCTGGAAGCTGCTGCAGAGAAGTTTGAGAAAGAAGATGGAGTTTCAGGTATGATTACAAGTGATGAAGATTTATATGCATATCCATCGTCACTCAAACTTGCAGCCGCAAAAGAAGATGGATATTCACGGTATTCCACTATACACTTTGACTTCAATACCAACCCTGTCATGAGCCACGAAGCAAATGCGTCATGTATCTCTTCTGTTGCTGATAGTTATGAATGCTCAACAGCTGCTGATTACGTAAGTTTAAGACCAAGAACTCACAACAACACTCTGTAATCGTCTCTTTCTTTCTAATATTTGACTTGTGTTTTGGTTACAAGAACAGGTAAATAGACGAGCTAACTGTAGTAGCAGTAGTGATTCTAAGCTATCAGAAGACGTAGGAAGCAGCAGTAACAAGAAGACTCGGTTCTTCTCTGCGGTTCAAGATGAAGTATTAGTTACGGATCAGGAAAGTGAGGGTTCTGATTCCGAGAGTTTCAGAGTGAAACGCCGTTCTTCGCTGAAATGTGAGCACCGAACAGTTGTTCTGGAGACCAGAGACTTTGAGCATCATCAGGTACTGAAAATCACATACTATTTTACAGTAATCATTTATTATACAGCAAACCCTGAGATTTTTTTTTTCTTTCGTGTTTTATTAAATGAAAATAGGAACATAAAAGATTGAAGAGATCACAGAAGTACCACGAAAGAAGATATAGTAGTAGCTGTAGTAGTAGTAAGGAAGAAGTGTTAGTAATTCCAAAAAGAAAGGAAACTCATGAGCAGCAGCAAAGGGACGTGAAGAAGATTGAGAATCATTTTGGTGTTGGGTTTAAACGTCTGAAAGTGAAAGCGTTGATAAAGCCATAACATGACAGCTTCAACTTCCTCCTAACAACATTTTTTTTAATTGCTGATAATCTCTAACAATACAGGTAAAAAGGGAATCAAAAGCAAAATATTCACAGTATCTGATTTTATTAGTATTTTTGTATGAGACAAGAAAGAAGGGGATAACCAACCAATCAACACCATTGGGGTTTGTTTTTAGGATTTTACCAAATCTTTGATTCTTTGTGTACAGAATCTTTCTGTGTACACCTTCCTGTTCCTTCTTCTTTTCATCTTATGATGTAAATCTCTTATTTTGTTTTGGTTATTTCTGTCAACAGATAGTTTTCAATTGGTGAAAATGATGTTTATAGAGGAATTTCAACAATGTAAAAAATTTATTTCTTCACTTCACAATCCAACATATTCCAATAAAAAAAATACTATGGCTCGTTCATCAGCTCTATGTAGTATAGTATAGCTGTTGTTGACAAGAAAAAGAAAAGAATAAGTTTCAACCTACAGTTGCTCGTACATTGTCTGTGTTCACTTGCTAAGCTGTACGCTCCAAAATATAAGCTTAGATCATGAGCAAAGAGTCTAAGGGCTCTTCAAGGAATCTGAGCCGTCCGTTGAAGGAAAAGAAGTGTCTGACGTCGGAGTCAGAGTATTAAGAGCATGTATACGAGAGGATCAACTCAAAGTTCACACGGTTCCAAAAAAAAAAAAATTAAAATAATCTGATATTGGTGAATCCGTGTCGCACGTAGAGTGTCACACGAGCTCTCTACGATAATCTGGTGTCATCACTGTTTCGTGGATTCCACGCTACATGTAGGTCTCATGATTAATTCTTTTATTTAATTTTTTTTTAATAAACGAAAAAATAAAAATAAAAAAGTTAATTAAAAAAACACGACTTAAACTCCTCTCTTCTGGGTCATTAATGTGTTTGCTCTCTATCAGTCTCTTGAGAATGGGTCATGCCGAATTTGTTTGTTTACACAAAAATGTCTCTTCTTCCGGATACTAATTAGTAATTACTTGCTTTATTTAGATATGGTTTTGATATTAGTTTTGGATTATTCGTGCTAACAAAAACTTTTCTTTTTGATAATTAAAGTTAGTGGTTCAGCTGGGTAACAAATATATATATTATTAAACGCTTTCGAATTGTTTATGTTTGAATTTGCTAGCCGAATTAAACAAACTTGCATACCTGATAATGTATCAAAACCTGGAAATTGTTTTGTAAAAATCACCAAAACTAATCAGCATTGTTATTCAATTTCTATACAAAATTCGGTTTAGTCTAAAGCTTCTATGATCTGTAATACATGCAAATAATAATTATCTATTCAAGACTCTAAAAAGGCAATGAGGGTAAGTACATTATTGCGCAACCCAGGTACTCTTAACTTACCACCACATTATCCGTGTCTTAATAAATTATTTTCATCTCAACATCTCTGTAAAAGCTATAGGAATCTGAATCAAATGACTTAGAAACTCGTTGTTTTTCAGAAACGGAGATATCTGAGGCGTTGATCTTTCTTTGTATCCTTCATCGCAAGCATCCAAGCCTTCCGTTGCATAATTCAGTCTCTCGATAACGTCTTTGTAATCACCTTCTTTAAAGGTCTCCATAGCCGAGTTCAATATCTGAGAAGTTCCTGAATAATCGTTGAGACACTCCATTACCAGCAAGTCATTGTCCTTGGGATATTTCCTCGCGTCAAAATCCTTCTTCATCTTGTCACGCATTTTCTTCGATGTTATCCTAGTGTTCTTCATCGACGCCGTGGTTAGTTCGGTGAGATTATTTGCGGTTTTGCACTGCTTACACCCTTCGAGAGACTTGAGGCAGAAATCGAGTTTGAGTTTTCGGTTTTTCGATGCAGCTTTCTTGCAAGAATCTTTAATGAGAGATTGTGTGGTTGCGGAAACGTTTAAGAGGAGAAAGCACGTAACCAGGTAAAGCAGAAATTTCATTGTTCTTTTTTTCTCCTTTTACTTAGTTTGATTTTCTTTAGTAGAAGCAGAGGATATGTGGAGAAGAGTAGATTTGTTTGAAATTATATGTTTTAAACGTTGTGATCCAATTTATAATTCACGTCACGCTTTTTTTAGAGGGCTCATGTCACGCTTTACCACTCCACTTACGTCGTACTCGTATGGCCTATTTGTTCGTTTTGACACACTCCCTCTTCACTTCATTTCTTGCCTTTATGTTAACGAAAAATGGTGTTCAAAAGAAAATGTTAAAAAAAAAAACTTGAAAGAAATTAATTATGTACACGTATATATACTGAATAGTTTAAGAGACTTCTAATATTAAATTTTAAAATGAACTAGAAATTACTCCCTCCGTTTCAAAATATATGTCATTCTAGACATATTTTTTTGTCACAAATTAAGTGTCGTTTTAAAGTTTCGAGGCAAAATTTATTAGTTTTATATAATATTATATTTTTCTATTGGTTGAAAAGTGGTTAGGTGTATAGGTAACTGTGTTTTTATCTTGAAAATATGTACAAATAAATATTTTCTTAATCTGTGTGCAAAAACCTAGAATGACAAATAAAGTGAAACGGAGGGAGTAAAAGAAAAAAGATAAGAACATTTAGATAATTCTTAGGTAAATGATATATTGTCTCATTAGAGTTGTAATTAATGCGTAATCGCATCTACTCCCTCAAGTACAAACCTGGTCATAAGTATGGAGGATTGCTTCAGCGATGGTTCTACCACACCATGTAGAAGGCTACTATGTTTTTTAGATTTATGTTTTTCCAGCAACAAAAAGTAGGAAAATAGCTATTCAAATTCTTTTGTAAATGTTAATTTCCTGAAAGGATGAATAAATTTGAAATTTCATCAAAAATAAAGTTGTAATTAATAATTACGATATATAACTTTATATAATTTTTATATAAACATAAAACAAAACATGGTGTTGTTTATGTTTCTTCAAAATAAAATCTCACTTTCTAGTTTTTCCAATGTTCTGGTGTTATTTTATAATGTTACATATTAAGCGCATTTATATTATGTAATATATGTGTTTACATAAAATATATCAAACCTCCTTTGACACTTCGACATGTGACTATTATTTTTTACCTATATAGTAAATATAACAATTTGCATTCTCATGAATAAAAAACATGTCATCTTGAATAGTTAGACGATCATACTTATAATACATAGCTTAAAAATATATATATACCAACAAAACCTTTGTTCTCCGCAATTTACCCCTTCTTATAAAAAAGAAAAACAGAAATACTATTATATGTGTTTTATGTTTTGTTTTGTTTTTGCTTATACGTTCAGATTGTTGAAGTGGTCGCACCTACGTCTGACTTCTCCTTCCCCATCGCCCTTAACACCGACCGTGCCCATTTTCTCCATCGCACGTGCGAAATCCTCAAAGAATGCTGTCTCGTTTGTTGCGTAAAGCTCAACGAACGGTTTCGTTCTTTTGTTTTTAATAAGGATGTGGTCCGAAGCTAGTAACCCTAATCCTCGCTTTAGGTTCTTGAAGTACATGTTGTCGAATTTTCCTGGACTCATCACGTCGTTAAACGCTGCGATTGTGTCATCCACGGTGTGGTTTTTGCATAGTTCCTTAAGAGCGGTTGCGTATCGCGGGTTCATTTCGGGATCGGCTTTTGATCCGTAGAGACGGTCACTAAACTCTTTGCAGTGAGAGAATCCAATCGTGTGAGCTCCACTTAATGCTACCATCTCACGTAGACTAAACCCGTTTTTCTTGAACATCCCATGGATGTCATGGACCGTCTGGTTAGGCATGGGTACGTTTCCTCGGACTTTATGGGCCTTGGATTCGAGTCCGTCTTTACGACCAAGCTTTACGTCGAAGTAAGGTCCTCCTACCATTGTGACAAGGTCACGTGTAGCCTGCGCTAAAATATCAGCACAGGACACTACACCGGGACAAGACAGCTCGAGAGCTGTCTTGATCCGGTTGACAATGTCGAAAGCATCTCCTGGAAGGGAGTCGTTGAGATCATCGTCACGTTCCGCTTTGTTAAACGAATTTGTGGCTATTAAAACAGACGCATCACAACCTTCCAAGAAACAGTCGTGGAAAAAGAGACGTAGTGTCCCGGCCGCAGTTGTTGGCTGTTGAGCTTGCTTTGTCGAAACGGCTTCACGTACAATTTTGTTGAAATCGGGACATGTTTTTTGGTAGTAATCCGTTCTCAAGATAGCTACATCAGCCGATACGGCTGGTGCAACAACAAGGAAACAAATGAGGAGAACGAAGCGGGAGAAACTCATATTTGAATACCACAAGAAATGGAATCGGATTTGAGAGAGAGGTCTACGAGGTAGACTTCTCTACGATCGATCTTTCGTCGAAAGTAATTAGAAATAAAGAAGATATTAAAGGCTTTGCGACTATTTTTATGGTTTAGGAGGTTACCAAGTAGAGGCTACGTAAATGGATGGTCTTAATATGTACGTGTGGTTATCTTTTTGTTTGTTTGTTTTTTTCTATTTTTGTAGTTTACCTATTTGTTGTATGGTTTAGGTTGCTTATGAATTTGGTTCCTGAGTTGTTTTGGCATATACCCATATAAATACTGGCGTAAGAAAAGGGAATACAGGAAAGTTTTGGTTATTCGTTTATATACAATACAAATCTTCAACTCTGTCTTGTTATATATAGAAAATTGTTTACGTTCGATGGATGTGTCATGTGTGGTAGTTTATATGACAGCATAATGATTTCTTAACGGTTATTTACTAGGGTCCCTGTTTATTAACTAGTCTACATGTCGAATATAACTTAGAAGCAAATTTAGAAAGAAAACTCTAGAATCTAGATAGTCACTTTGGTTGAATAGGAAAATCAAGGTTAACCTACTAATTATTCAAACTTGTGATTGAACACTAATTACTTTTAGTGGTCAACTAATACACCAATGAAATTACTAATATAACATACTTTGCTATATTAACAAAATACGATGACAATCTTTGTATGATTTCCTTGTATCACTAATTTCAACCAGTATTTATAGTTAGATACTTGACTAACTTATTTTTAAGTTATTAATCTATTATATTAAAAGATAAGTCATGATTCACTTCATGTGTGATTTTTTTAGTTTGAACCATCTTAAAAAAATTTATAAAATTTTACATCACATCATTATAATATCTTTTCATATTTTTAATTTTTATTTGAAATACAAATAATTAGTTTTAAGAAAATTCTATCAAAATCTTTTTAAAAACTTTTAGAATCTTTTCAAGATATAGTTTCAAAAATTATTTAATTAAAATTTTAATTATCATAAAATATAATTAAAATTTTAATTTATTTTTTTATTTATAAACAAAAAATTAAATTATGTAAAATACTTTTAATAATATCCCAAAATTTTGTTTATGTATTATGTAGATCCAAATTAATTTACTTTTTACATAAATTTTAACTTTTGATATAAAACAAAATATATAAATTAGTAATGTTACATAATAATGTTTTTAAAAATTGTTACAAAAATATAAATTTATAAATTTTACATTAATGATATTATAAGCCACATAAACATTATTATAAAATTGGATAGTATATAGAATCAAATTATATTTGTTTATTGATAAATTTTATTATATAGTTCCAAATATTTTTGTATTAAAATACATGTACGGTTGTATGGATCGAGATCTAGTATTGTTTATAGATGTAGTCGGGCAGCTTTAGTCGTATTATTGTCTAGAATGCGTGGTTAAATTATGTGTTTGTATTCTTTCCAAGCGGATAAACATTATTTTGTAGGTTTAATGTTTTGGATGTCCAAATTTCAGCAAAAATGTGTTTTGGATATGAAAAGTTAGTTTGAGAAAAAATATACTGCCAAAAAGTGAGTCTTAACAATATATCCTTACATTAAGAGCATAATTAACCATAATACCCATTTAGGGTATCTTAGTTAATTTTTAATATATTTCAGAAATTAATGAGAGTTAAGATACTCTTTTAAGATACCCGAACAGTTAATGTGCTCCAATGCAATTATCTTAATTAAGGATTCTTAAAAAAAAATTTTATTTTTTAGATAAAATTTCTTTATTAAATAAAACATACTAAAAATAACATTTAAAACATAGTTTTTTTTTTAAAAAAAAGAACACTAAAACAAAGTTTAGTACAATAATCGAGAATAATTTGAAAAACACTCGAGCTCAGTAGTTGTCTCCATCACGTCAAAATTTACGTCATATATGTTCAACCAAAACGTGTTTGAGTTGTTGATGCATTTGTTTATCACGAATTCTAGTTCGAGTACCCATCATATTGGCGATATTTGTAGAGATATTTGTAGAATATGTGAGATCCACATGTGAACTTCCGTTGTCCTCCGCTTGTTGGAACTCTGAAGCATCAAACTGAGTATATCCATCTCGCTCGTCTTCCACTATCATATTATGGAGGATGATACTTGCTCTCATAATCTTACCAATTTTGACTTTATCCCAAAAAAGTGCAGGATTTTTAACAATGATCAAGAACATTGATATCATTTAAGATACCTGGTAGTCAAAAAAAAGCATGTCATATCCTTATATTATACGAAGCAACCTCCTCTAAAACGATTGTAGGATTATCCGAACCACGTTAATATTGACCTTTCCAAGCGGTGGGACAATTCTTCCATTCCCAGTGCATACAGTTGTCCTATTATCCTGGGAAATCCACGATACTCTCCAATATCAAGTAGACGTTGAAGATCATCCGGTGTTGGTCTTCTCATATACTCATCGCCAAATAAATATATAATTCCTTCCACAAAATTTTCCACACATGACCTTGTAGTTGTTTCACCGAGTCAAAGGTATTCGTCGACCGTATCATCCGGATTGTCATAGGCTAAGACACGAATGGCTGCTGTACACTTTTGAAGTGGAGAGAGACTACGTCTTCCGAGACCATCTTTCTTTTGTCGAAAGCATTGAACTTCATTGGAGAGTCGATTAACGATATGCATGAGCAATGATTTGTTCATTCTAAATCGTCGTCGGAATAGATTCTGAGGATATGTTGGAATTTCACTGAAATAATTATTCCATATATATACGTACGTCGCCTTTTTCACGATTTCGCTCGATATAAATTCATTTTTTCTTTTTTTTCTTTCTTCTTCTTGAATACCATTATGAATGGAAATATTATCGAATGTTTGATCAAAGGTATTATGAGAAGAAAAAGCCATTTTATTTAGGTTAAAAACAATGGTTGTGATTAAGAGAGAAGGAAGAAAACAATGGTTGTGAGTAGAAAGAACGAGAGAGAAGCTTGGATACAAAGGAACAAGAGAGAGAAGCTTTATGTTGCATGAACTATGAACTATGAACGAGAGAAACTTTATATAGCATAAACTATGAACTGATTATTATACAAGGCTCGTGAAACAAAAGAATACAAAACAAGACAACATACGGGTTAGAACAAATTATGGTGCCAAATATTTGAACTGAAACTAACTTGAATTAGGGCTTGCTTGATTTGAGAAGTTTTGGAGGGTGAACGTATTTTTCATAGTTTAACCACGTGTTTAATTAAAACTAAAGTCATCTTCTGTTAAATATAGTCGACGTCATCTAAATCGATGTGTAAAATTTGCAAATTTCAAAAGTTTATATATTTAATGAAAAACAAAAATTAGTTTGTGTATTAAATGAGGATCCAAAATAATTAGTGTATTTTATTAACAAATAAAAATTAATTCGTTTATTTTAAAAGAATTTTATTTTCATAATTTAAACATGTGTTTAATTAAACACTAACGTCGTCATCACTTCTATTAAATATAATTAACACAGTCTAAAATGAGGTCTAAAATCTGCAAAATTCAAAAGTTTGTGTATTTAAAAGGTAACAAAAATTGGTTCATGTATTAAATGGAGATCCAAAATAGTTCATGTATCTTATTAACAACTAAAAATTAATTCATGTATTTTAAAGAAATTTTCAAATTTTAATAAAAAGCCTATTTATCACAAAATTTAATTAAATCAGAAAAAAATCAATATACAATATGATTTTTTTTTTTTTGAGCACATACAGTATGATGATTATTTCTTCTTTAGAAATTAGGTGTTTTGCCTGCATTTGCGGGCATAATTATTTTATGAATATTTATTAGCTGATGTTTCATTAATTTAAAAATCAGCATAATAAGTTATTATTTATGTTTTCAAAATTACAAATGCAAATTATCAATGACAAAACTCAAACATCAGAAATATTTAAAAGAATATATTTCTATAATTATTTTGCTTGATTTATATTTAATTATACTTTTTATACAAATATTTTTATTTAATTTATATTTGATTATAATTTTTATATCTTAACTTTAAATCTTATAACAGAAAAAACATATTTTCAAGATACAATATAATGCATAAGTTATTTATTTTCTAAAAATATATTATAATAAAAAAATTTAATTATATAAGATTATAGAAATTATGACATATAATTAAAATTACCTGATCTATTATTTATTTTAAATCTTAAACGCAACTGTTACGGTACAGTACAATTACGATGTCGCATGTTTATATACTGATCATGAACTTATACTTTGATCAAGTAACGCCGTATGTTACATGATCTCATGCGTTTAATTATGGGTGAATCAAACAAATCATGAACACTCTTTAAAATGGATGAACCGTATATATTCATGAATATATTAAAACTTATTCTTGTGAATTAATTAAATCTATAATGGCTCTGATACCAAATGTAAGATAAACATTTATGATTTCTATAATGAAATATATCCCAAGACCATAATCTAGATTTTGGTAAAGTAGGAGGATTATCACAACCTCATAACTAATTTTATAATTAAAAACAAAATTTAAAAATAAAATTAGATTAGTATGTTATTATCTTAGATAACTTAGAATAATTAATATAATAAGTTTAAAACAAAAATCAAAAATAAAATATTTCTTATATATATATTATTATCATCTGAATATATTATTGTAACAACATGATAATGCTTATATATTTTAATTTTATATATAATTGATTTTGGCTTTTGAAAATAATATCATTCTATTATAAAATTTAAAAATTAAAATTTAAAAATTGATTTTAATTAAACATTAATCAAACAAAAATATTTGTATAAAGATACTTTTAATTATATAATTAAATATTGGAACGGTTCAAGTTAATGATACCTTTAATAAAACTTATATATTTATATATAAATTAGTTAAAAGCGAATTTTATGTTAGTGATAGAAATTTATATGTTATTATATTAGTTAATTTATTATAAATTAACAGGATAATTATCCACATTCATGCATATTTAAAACATAATTATCCTCGACCGAATCAAAACGATGTCGTTTTACTGTTTGTTCCGTTTTCCTCTCAAGGATAGTATGTGACTGATACTCAGCTTCCCTTGTGGTGATGCTCAAACTCGTCTTCTTCTGTATCCTTTTGGTGCTATCACACTCCCCCATGACACACTCCCGCAATTTCACCTCCCTAACGTGTCAGGACCTAGAAGGAGTTGGATCATTGAACACCACTTGCACACTAAACTCAAATCTCCGTTTCGATTCCGATACTTACGTGTACGGAACGGGGAACCTCAACATACTAACAAACGTCTTAGTTGACTGCCTCATCCAAGGATGCTTGATCAGTTTCAACTTCTCCTCCGGAGCCATCCACTTGAGACATTCAGCGAGGATCGTCGCGGGATCAGTTGTTCTCTCAGCTACCAATGTAACGGTGGAGGGAAATTCCTCCATCTACACTACGGCGTTGGGCGGACCGCCGCCTTCTCAGACTAGCGGGACGCCCGTTGGTGAAGATGGCGGTGGTGGAGGACATGGTGGGAGAGGTGCGTCGTGTGTGGAGAGTGATGTGACGACTTATTGGGGTGGGGATGTTTATAGCTGGTCGAGTTTGGATGATCCGTGGAGTTATGGGAGTGAAGGAGGGGTTAGGTTGAAAGCAGGAGGTAAAGGTGGAGGTCGTGTTAAGGTGATAGTGAAAGATATTATGATGCTGAATGGTTCTGTTTCTGCTGATGGTGGGGATGGTGGTGAGGAAGGTGGTGGAGGATCTGGAGGAAGTATTTGTATTCATGCTGTTAAGCTGTAAGTTCATCTGAGTCCTATCTGAATCATGACGTATATTCAGGGCCGGCCTTGAGATTTGGCCTTGAGATTTGGGGGTCTGTAGGTCAATTAGTAAATATCTATGTAATTTTCTTCAAAATTTTTGGGAGATTCGAGACCAATGTTTCATTCGGCTTTGCCTAGGAACGGCCCTGAGTATATATTACCTATGGGATGGTAACTTTCTAAATTTTGTTTCAGTTCAATGTTTCTCACATGTCATTTGGATTTGTAGGAAGGGTTATGGTAAAATATCTGCATCAGGTGGGAGGGGATGGGGTGGAGGTGGTGGAGGAAGGATCTCCCTTCATTGCTACAGCATACAAGAAGATGTCAGAGTTCTTGTGCATGGTTTGTATCTCTTTTGCTACCTTTTGGTGCTCATGCAAATGACATTAGGTCTTCTACAAGCTGTATTTATTTAGTTAATTGTGCTTTCAAGTAGTTTTGAGTTCTTCCCTATTATGGGCAAAACTTGATGTCTTTTTCAGGCTCTGTGTTGAATATAAACAGTCTGATACTAAATTATTTGGTTCTATTTTGACTGCAGGTGGTGCAAGTATAGGGTGCCCCAAAAATGCTGGAGCAGCTGGAACGTACTTTAATGCAGAATTGTCGAGTTTAAGGGTTGGGAATGATAACATGACTACAGAGACTGAAACTCCTTTGCTTGATTTTCCTACGAGTCCTCCCTGGTCAAACATCTATGTAGATAATCATGCTAAAGTTTTGGTTCCGTTGCTCTGGACCAGAATGCAGGTCAGTTAATCTCTTGAATATCTTATTTTCTCCGATAGTGTCCTGAATCATCTTTTCTGCTCTGATTCTTTTGTGAATCCAAGGTATTTATTATGATATGAAGGACTTTTGATATGCTTTCTTTTAATATCTGACCTTACAATTGTCAGTTCTTTTTGTTATTGTGTTTATCAAGCTCTTTCTTTAAAAATGCTAGAGTTGGCACTACAACCAAATTGTTCCTTCTCTGATTATGAAGGTCAGAGGTCAAATCAGTCTTTATCGGGGGAGCAGCATTGTCTTTGGGTTATCAAAGTTTCCAGTTTCAGAATTTGAGCTAGTTACGGAAGAGCTTTTAATGAGTAACTCCGTTATAAAGGCAGGTTATTGTGCATGACCGTTCAGTAACAATCTTACTTCTCTTTTGCTATCTTGCTTTTCAATATGTTTTGTTAAAGTTGGTTTGTCCTTAAATGAAGGTTTATGGTGCATTACGACTTGGTACGAAGATACTTCTCATGTTGAATTCTGTAATTAAAATCGATTGTGAAGGAAACCCTGCAGTGCCTCCCTCTATTCTTGAAGTTCGCAACCTTGCAGTTCTAACGGTATAATTGTTTATCTTATCATGTATTGTTTTCTTCCGTTGGTTGGTTTAGAAGCCAGATTTTGACTTCTTATTGTTGTAGGAAAATTCCATCATTACTTCTAATGCGAACTTAAGTGTATATGGTCAAGGAATGTTGATGCTCACCGGTCCTGGAGATGCAATTAAAGGCCAGAGACTTTCCTTATCTCAGTTTTACAACTTAACTGTAAGAATTTGTTGTTTTAACATGATTATATATCATCCAACTTCGATTTATGAGATCATGTTTTTGTCTGTCTGTTGTAAACTTTTACTTAGCCAATCATTGGTGAAGAATGCAAAACTCTATTTTTAACTGTTTCGTAATTTTGCAGGTTGGACCAGGTTCTATACTTCAGGCACCACTTGACGACGATGAAAGCAAAGACACGTAAGTATTACTTCCTATAAGTTTGTGCTGGACTTAGTAACTGAAATGCTTGTGCTAGAAAATCTCTTTCTTTTCTTACAGGGTTACTCATGCCCTTTGTGAGAGCAAGACATGCCCAATAGACTTGATAAGTCCGCCAGATGATTGCCATGTCAATTATACACTATCCTTCTCTCTTCAGGTAAGCTTGATAAAGAAGTATCTTGATGTTCCGAAAGTATCTGTTAGGTACGAGTTAGATTTTTTTGATATTTAGAGTTTGTATTACTTACAGGTAGTTGCACAAGTAAATAATCTACTGTGAATAAACTATTAACTATTAGGCTGATCAAAACGTTTTTCTTATAGAAGCTAAACAATTGTGACTTACATTATCCTGTAAGACCTCTAGTTGTGCATAGTTAGTCCTTTCCTGTGTTACTCCCCTAACCAGACTTGTCTTCTTCTTAATTAGCTTTTTCTTAATAGCTTCCAACCAAATTTTGATCATTCTTCAACCTTTTGATTTTCTAGATATGTCGAGTTGAGGACATTCTTGTGAGTGGCATTGTTAAAGGAAGCATAATTCAAATCCATAGGGCAAGAACAGTAGTAGTTACTGATGAAGGCCTGATCAGTGCATCTGAATTTGGTAACTCAATCTTCTATCTTTTTCTGCAAATTCCTATAGCTGTTTGCCCTTCCTCTGGAGCAGGATTCTCACCATGTCTTTAAAATTTTAAATACTTTTCTTCTTATTCAAGAAGATTAATTTGGTTTCTGGTTCTATGCATAAAATTGCTATGACAGGGTGCAGTGGTGGCCTGGGGAAAGGACTTTATTCAAATGGGGCAGGTAGTGGTGCCGGGCATGGAGGGCGAGGGGGTTCGGGCACTTTCAATGGGAGAGTATGCAATGGAGGTCACACCTACGGTGATCCGGATTTTCCCTGTGAGTTAGGGAGTGGAGCTGAGAGTCCAGATAAATCATATGGGAATGTGATTGGTGGAGGAATGATTGGTCAGTCCTATATTTCTATTCAATTAGGAAAGCTTGCAGCCAATAGTACACTGTGAACCATCTGTTTACTCATCCTACACTTTCATGTCACATATACAAATTTGTTTTCCACCTTTTCAGTAATTGGCTCCATCCACTTTCCTCTTTTGACGCTCAATCTACGTGGATCATTAAGCTCTGATGGCCAAAGCCTTGGAAAGGCGATAACGAACGGTAACAGATCTTTGGTGGGTGGAGTTGGTGGAGGATCTGGTGGGACGATTCTTCTTTTTCTTCAGATGCTTCAACTCTCAAAGAATTCATCTCTATCAGTAAGAGGGGGCAGAGGTGGCCTTCTTGGAGGAGGTGGGGGTGGAGGTGGAAGACTACATTTTCACTGGGACATGTTGCACACTGGTGATGAGTATTTTCCTGTTGCAACCGTCAAGGGGTCCATTAGTAATAGGTATGCACCATTTTCATGATAAGCCAGGCAAAATCCCTTGCATGCTTGCTACTTTGTGGGTCTTTTGTAGTTACTATGGTAAAGGCATGCATATATACGTTGATTCCTAGTCCTATAAATCGCCATGAATTTAAGAGGATAGTGGTTAGTGTTTGATGCTTGAAACTCTGCCTGTAGTTTTTTCCTTATGCCAAATTTGGAACGTATCTTGGAACTCGGAAATCTTATATAACTTCAATACAGACCTTGAATTGCTTGCTCTATGATGTCTTCAGAGGAGGTGCAGGTGACAATGGAGGCCGTTTTGGGGAAGAGGGAACGATGACTGGTAAAAAGTGTCCGAAGGGACTCTATGGTACATTTTGCTTGGTAAGTCTTATGGTTTATTATCTTGTAGTTACTTCGGCACTGATCATATATCTGCTTTGTTTACTTGTGCTTGATACTACCATGGAAAATCTCTGCCTTGTAATTGTGCTTGATACTTCTAGACTTTGCTGGCTTTATGTGTTTTTTCAGGAATGCCCCATTGGGACTTTCAAGAACGTTGAAGGTTCTGACAAGCGTCTTTGTACACCTTGCCCACCTGAACATCTTCCAAGCCGTGCAAAATTCGTATACGTACGAGGTATATAACCTTATACTTCTCTTATCTTCCATTCCATGATCAGTTTTCTGATGGGAGAAGCTTGGAATCTGCAGGAGGAGTTAGCGAACCTTTTTGTCCTTATAAATGTGTGTCTGACAAGTACAGATTGCCAAACTGTTATACACCTCTGGAAGATCTTGTCTATACATTTGGAGGGCCATTTCCCTTTGCTCTTGTTCTATCTTGTGTAGCGGTAGTCTTGGGTCTGTTGCTAAGCATATTAAGTATAAGATTGTTAAGATCAAGTTCTTATGGTGCCAGTTCCATCGAACACCAGAGTACTCATTGTTTACCACATCTTCTGTCACTCTCTGAGGTATTGTCTAGTCCCCAAATCTTCTGTTTTTGTTGTAAGACATATGGAGTCAACCGAACTCTCTGGTTGTTTCCTATGATTCAAGGTCCGAGGCGCAAAATCTGACGTTACACAAACCCACGCTTACCGTATGTACTTCATGGGTCCAAACACTTTCAGGGAACCTTGGCATCTACCCTACTCTCGTCCCCACGCAATCATCGAGATAGTGTAAGGATATAACTTGATTGGTTCCCTAAGTAGTGACTATGCATGTCACTAATCCAGATTCAATGTGACATTGACCTTTTTTGACTCATTTCATTACAAGACATGTCTACTCACTGTTCTGTACACTTCTTGTTCGCAGTTACGAGGATGCTTTTAACAGATTCATTGATGAGGTCAACTCTACTGCGTCATACGATTGGTGGGAAGGGTCAGTGCACAGCATTTTATCATTTCTCGCAAACCCTTGCGCCTGGTCTTGGAAACAATGGCGTCGCAGGAGAAAAATTCATCGCCTTCAGGAATACGTAAAATCTCAATATGACCACTCTTGCCTCCGCTCATGCAGGTCTAGAGCTCTATACAAAGGCATGAAGGTTCGGATTCTTTTATTATCTCTAATGTTAATACTTGTTACTTCCTCACAATCAGCTAGCTTTTAACTGTATGTATCCAACGTTAAAACAGGTTGGAGCCACACCGGATCTGATGGTTGCATACGTAGATTTTTTCCTTGGCGGTGACGAGAAGCGTGTAGATATGGTCTCTGTTATACAGAAAAGATTCCCAATGTGCATACTTTTTGGTGGAGATGGAAGTTATATGTCACCTTATAGTCTTCATAGTGACTCACTCTTAACAAATCTTCTTGGACAGGTTAGCTTATTTCTCCCTCTCTCTCTATTTTATTTAAACTTAGAGAATCTCCTAAAGGCTTCCACATCACTATTCCAGCACATCCCACCAAGTGTCTGGCACCGGTTTGTCGCCGGTTTAAACGCACAGCTTAGGACAGTGAGGCATGGATCTATTCGCTCAGCATTACTTCCTGTCATTAGATGGGTAAACAGCCATGCAAATCCTCAACTTGAATTCCACGGAGTAAGAATTAAGCTTGGATGGTTTCAATCTACAGCTTCTGGTTATTACCAACTTGGTATCTTGGTTTTTGTCGGAGATTTTCCTGTGAACACTTTAAACCAATCAGTTTCATTCAGTAGAAGTGACGACGAGTCCCCTCGGTGAGCCATAATAGACCTTTTCTAGCTATTGTCACTTCTGAGAGTTAAGAAACTCAATTTTACAGGAACAGCTCTGCATGTCCTAGCAATTCTCTAACCGAGTTGCAACAAAACTTGATCCAACCAGGACATGGGTTATCTCGGAGGAGAATCAATGGTGGAATAAATGGAAGCCTCATCAACGAGATTTCAATACAATCTCTGGAGTACAGGAGGGACTTACTTTATCCATTTTCTCTCTTATTAAACAATACACGACCCGTTGGTCGTCAGGTTTACATATTCTCCACTACTTAATAATCATTCTCCTAATTTTTCATTTTTTTCATGAAGTATTATTAATATGAGAAAAATCTTTCATGTGGTGTATGCAATGCAGGATACTCTTCTACGTTTGATCTCCATCCTTCTTCTTGCGGATCTTTCAGTCACGGTCCTTGCACTGCTTCAGTTTTATTGGATTGCTCTTGCAGCCTTCTTTGCTATCCTCCTGATTCTCCCTCTCGCTCTGCTTTGTCCGTTCCCGGCTGGCCTCAACGCTTTATTGAGTAGAGAAATTAGAAGAGCTTCAGTTACACGTGTCTACGCCCTTTGGAACGCTACATCTCTAACCAACGTTGTAAGTATATACAATGTGACAATAGTTCTCTCTCTCTCTCTCTATTGTCTCTTATTCCAAAGTATGTTCTGCAGATTGTGGCTTTCGTTTGCGGTATCATTCATTCCGTGTTTTTCTCTGACCATCTAAGTGATAAGACAAACATCTGGAACGCTATAAGGTAACAAAAATAGTCTCTGTTTTGTTCTTCTGTCTTCATTTTGTCATACCACCACAATGAGTTTTTAATCTTAAGCTTTGGTTTTATGTATTTGGGCAGAGATGATAAATGGTGGGTATTACCAACAGTTCTCTTGTTACTTAAGTCGATACAAGCTAGGTTCCTTGATTGGCACGTGGCAAATCTGGAAGTAGCAGACTTTTCTCTGCTATGTCCCGATCCAGATACGTTCTGGGCATATGAATATGGAACTTGACGATCCAAAGACAAACAAAATGAGTATAAAGAAAGACAAGGGAAAGGTATATCTTATTTTACATGTAAATCTGCTAAAAAAGTACATGTAGTTCTCTGGTTGTATTTCTGGAGTAGGGTTTGCCAGTTGAACTCGGTAGTTTTATATACTAGAGTTTATATGGAGATTAGTTATAAAACCTTACCGAAAGTTAGATTTATTTTATTTGTTTGGTATGTGAAAATTTCAGTAGTATATATATTATACGTTCAAATCCACACCTTGTATTACCAAGTTATGCATCAAAATGAATATTGAAGTGTTAAAAAGAAATATTAAACGTTCAAATGATCAAATCTGATTTGGTCCAAATTTGATATGAAGGCAGAACAATTTAAAACATTCAACCATAGTTTGGTCAAAGATGATTAAAGAATCAAAATTGAGATTTGTAGTTTGTTCAAATTATATATTCGTCAACAAATATTTGATATTTTTCTAACGGTATAAATGACCTAAAATTTTGAACATCTACACACGACCAAAGGCATCAACCTGCTGTTCATGTAGCTGAAGGTTTTACCGACTCGATACTCCAGATGATCAAATGTGCAATCCACATATTCCTCTCCACACTATAAGACTAAGTGCAATAGGGTGTTGAAAATAAAATTTCACCAGTCGAAAGTGTGTAGTGAGGTGTTGAATTATGTGTTTAAAATGAGGTATCTTTCAACTAGCTGAAACAATTCAACAAATTGAATCTGTGATGAAGAGGAGGGAGTATGTGACGTGGTAGTTCCTGAGAGAAGAAAAAGTGGGTGCCCATGTTTCTTTCTGTGCTGTTTTTTTTCCATCATCTATATTATTTGATTCAATTATTGTATATAAAATTATTTATAAAAAAAATTATCAAACTTTATCATTTTTATACTCTATAAATAGAAATTTGCTTCATTAGATTTGGACATAGAAAAAAATTCATCTTTAACCTCTCTAAACTCTCATTTTTATATTTTCGTATCTTCATTGAAAAATCATCTTTAACCACTCTATATTTCTCATTTTTAGTAATTGATTTTTTTATTAAAATTATTTTTATCATTTATATAGTTCTTAAGAACTGTAATTTAATTTAAACTAATAATTGTTGTTAATATGTAATTATAAAATCAAAAATACATAACAAAATAAAAATAAAAGTGGTAGGTTAAGATGTCGAATTTATTAAATAAATTATTGTATATTAAAAGAAAATAAGTGGGTGTTCAGTTATTAAGTGAAAGAAAGAGAAATTAATGTGGAAGAAAGAGAAGATGATGTGGAGGGTGTTAAACTGTTATGTGTTGAAAATGTTGTATATAGTCTAACCAAGTCAACAAAATTTGGTACTTCTCTCTAGTTTCTACCTCTGGATTGACTTAGATAAATGGGTAATAAGTGGGCTTTAACTATTTCTATGAATAGGCCTTTCTTAGTTTATCTTGGCCGAAGCTAAAAATACGCGCAAATGTAGCGCGTGAACTTCAGTGTCCGAGAACACTTGAGTTTCAGCATTTTCTAAGATTCTTTAGGATCAGTAATCTCTCTGCCTCGTCTCATCTGCGAAGTATCTCCCAAAAAACTTTCCCGAGATTCCAAAAAACCGCCGCCATGTTGAGACAAGCCTCTCGCCTCCTCTCCCGATCCGTAACCGCCGCCGCATCGTCCAAATCGGCGACGACGACTCGCGCCTTTTCCACCGAGCTTCCCTCCACGATCGATTCGACATTCGTGGAGTCATGGAAGAAAGTCGCTCCCAACATGGACCCGCCTCAGACACCTTCTTCCTTCATGAAATCCCGTCCTTCGACCGCCTCTTCGATCCCGACGAAGCTCACCGTCAATTTCGTCCTCCCTTACGCATCTGAGCTTTCCGAGAAAGAGGTACAAGTCTTCGATGATCCATCAGTTTTTTTTATAGTAGTAGTGTGTGTGATTCATATGTGGATTTGTTGAAAAGGTCTATAACAGCATTTCGGATTTGATTCACGGTTTATGTATGAAAATGTGGTTTGATTAGGTCTTAGGAGGAGGATCCGTTGATTTTGGTTAGATGTGACGGCGGTTAAAATCAGGGTTTCTCTGAGAATGATAATGAATGTTTTTCAGGAGAGTTGTTAGCAATGAAGATGTCTTTGAAAAATGTTGTTTGTGAGTTTCTTGTTAATTGTTAGATTCTTTGCCGAGAAGTTGAGACTAGTTTGATTAATCTACAGTTTCTGAACTCTTTGTTTGATCAGTCAGTAGAGCTAGATATTAGCATTGCAACTCTTATTAAGAGATTTGTTGTTTCTGATACAATGAGAGATTGAATACTAATATGTTTTATATATATGATCTTGTTACATATCTTGAAACCATGAGATTCATAGATAGTATCAGTCCTACATGATATTGATAAAAGCTAACTATCGATTGTTACTATATGGGATGTAAATGTATATCTTTTTATCTTGTTTTCATACTGATACATGTAGACTCAGAGCCGTGCGAGCACTTCCAGCTACACATATATCTACAAATAATAAAATTAATTGTAGTTTAGTGTAAGAGAATCACAGAGAAAAAAACAAATTTTGTCATCTAGAATTTGTTGGGAAAATCTTTTTATTTACACAATATTCTTAGCAATTAACAATTGTTTCCATATTATGTAATTGATTTCTTATAAACCATGTTTCCACTTTAATCTGATTTTTTTGCTTACCTATAAAGCTACTAAGGAGATTACGGTTTATAGTAAAAAATGCTTTTAACTGCTTTTTGTAAAAAAAAATGTTGCCCTAAGCAGAGTGTTTCTTTTTTTCTCAAGTGAGCACGGCTCTGACTGAATGCCCGTTGTAACATTAACTTTCATGAGCTCATTTCCATGGGAAGTAGTAATCTGTTTATTGTTATACTGTATAATATTATTCAGATTCTCATAGACTTACTAGTTAACATATGAATATCAGTATTCTGTAGGTAGTGCATTCGCTGTGGTTTCTTTTTCGTGTAGAATGCACTGATCCAGACTTACTTCCGGAGTTCCTGATGCATTGAAAGCTTTTATCATCTTTTTTTCTCTGCGTGCATTGAAAGTGAATATCATCATCTTCATATGTTCGTATAAGATCTGAACTAACCCTTAGTTTCTTTTATTGCTTTCATTTATTATCATAACTCAAAGTTTATGGGTTTCTCTTTGTATACTTCAAGGTCGACATGGTCATCATTCCCGCTACAACAGGACAAATGGGTGTTTTGCCTGGACACGTTCCAACAATCGCTGAGCTGAAACCCGGTATCATGTCCGTTCACGAAGGTACTGACATAAAGAAATACTTCGTGAGCAGTGGTTTCGCGTTTCTCCACGCAAACTCCGTCGCTGACATAATCGCGGTCGAGGCCGTGCCGCTTGAGAACATTGACGCAAGCCAGGTCCAAAAGGGTTTAGCTGAGTTCACGCAGAAACTTGCTTCTGCCACAACAGATCTTGAGAAAGCAGAAGCACAGATTGGTGTCGAAGTTCACAGTGCTATGAACGCAGCTCTCTCAGGCTAAAAGAAGCTTCTCTTTCTCTCATTAAATCAAAAATCATTTGGCTTTTCAAATGATTAGTGGAAGTTTCTTTCTTTCTTTTTAATTGTGTTGGATTTCTGTTTGAATAAATGATTTTGGGGGAGGCACAAACCAACATCAAGATTCTTGTGTTCATTACTTGTTTGTGTTGACTGTTGAGTATGGTTTTCACTTCCTGATATTTTTCTTTATGTAAGACTAACTCACACATAATAAGAGTATTTCTAATGTAAAACTTCATATTTTTTTTTTACTAAGATAGTGTAACTGTAGAATGGAATTGAGTTTACTTTAAATCTACTCTATTTTGAAATGAAAAAAATATAATGGACAAAAAATATTACTCTATTTATGGATTTAATATAGAGTAATTTAATAGAGTAATATAGGGGGAGGAGAGAGAAGGGAGATATAGGGTATAGAGTTAAATATGAGGTTTTGTGTGTGTATGGAGTGCAAATACTCTTTAATATATTCCTGAAAAAATGTAGTGGGTTTAAACATTTATTACTCCAAACTTTAGTCTGGACTAAATTACAGAATAGAGTTAAAAGATGTTTTGGGTTACCTTAACAGAATTATAGAAGAGAACTATAAAGTAATCTTTCAAAATATGAGGAAATTATATATCGTTGACAGGGATGGACTCAACAAATTTTGGGACCCTGGGCAATTTTTTTTTTTAGTAATTTGAAAAATAACTTGTTATGCAATTATAGTGAAATTTCTGTAAATTAATAATGTTGGGATTACACCAAAACTATAATTTTTATTAATTTATAAAGATTACTCATTTCGTTTCACTTTAGTTGTCATTCTAGTTTTTTACACATAGATTAAGAAAATATTTAATTTTACATACTTCCAAGATAAAAACACTACTACCTATACACCTAACCACTTTTCAACCAATAGAAAAAATAAAATATTATATAAAACTAATAAATTTCGCCTCGACACTTAATTTGTGACAAAAAAGTCTAGAATGACATATATTCTGAAACGGAGGGAGTATTAATTTATCGATATACTAACTGAACCAAAAATTAAATCTGAGACTAGAAAATTATATTATTTTATAGAAATTTTCAATGTATATTAATTTATAGAGTATTGATTTAAAGAAATTATATTGTAGTTATAGTATTTCATTATTTCTATGAAAAATACAATAAATCAATATATAAAACTAAATTGAGCTAAAATGATATTTATATCTGAATTTTGTTTCTTTATCAAATGAATTTCAAGTTAATATATTTTAGTATAAAAATAAAAACTAAAATTTTGTATGGCAAATATCCTTAGACCTTAGGGCGATCGCACTTATCGCACCATCTAAGCCGGCCCTGTTCGTCGGTCGATAGTTCCATCATAAGGATTAGAACAGGTTACATGAGACATTTCTCCACCATCATGACAGGAATTCTGGTCTATTTATTTAAAAATAACAAATCGGTTAAGCCAAACACTCAAGTACTAGTCTTCTATAGTACGTCTAATTACCGTATAACGATTTTTCAAACACTGAATTCTCCTAATACACCAAGTCGGGCTATAGCCTATAGAGGTTGCTTTGATATTTCTTGTTTGACTCACCCATAACTTTCGTTGTTTGATATTTCCTCCTTCAAAAGGATTAGAACAGGTTTCAAGAGACTCTTCTCCACCATCACGACAGGAATTCATGATTTTTTGTAATATACAAATAAATTTATGCCGACTCTCTCTGTATTCTAAAAATCGTGATATACAGTAATTGTTTATAAACAAACAAAGTTTTCAAAAAAATCGGTTTAGACATACCATTATGCACTAATCCTTTATAGTTTACCTAACAATCTTTTGAACATTGAATTCTCCTAAATCCTATTACATCAATCCGGGCTATAACATATAGAGGTTGGGTTACTTTGATCTTTCTTGTTTGATTCCACCCATAACTTTCGTTAAAGCTTGCAGATTTAAATTATTTTGGCCATACGCTAAAATATGGTTGGTCCTTGGTCCCCATCATAAAGGTTTACAAGAATTTAAAGAGAAGTAGAGGATGGATTGATGGTTGAGAATTTCTAACGATAACAACAACATATAGTATTCTTATTTAATGGTTTTCCTTCTTTGCCTTATCAAATCCCATCTTCATCAAACTTCTCCTTTCATTTTTCCACCAATGTCACTTTTCTGTTTTGCTGAAGATTTGGTATAAGATCTTCCAAATCTTACATGATACTTTTATATGGTACATACCAACGTATATATGTATTCTAGTGGTTTTGTTGGGTATATGACTAGTGATATAGATGATCAGTATTCCTTTGACATATTATTAAATTTTATTATATTTTTATGCCAAATATGGATGTAAATGGACCTTAGATTAGATAGAATCTTATCTTATCTTAGATTATAATTCTGTTATACTTTTGGTTTTGGTGCCATATACTTTGCTAAGAAAATTATGAACTGGAGGTGTTGGTATTGATTTTGGATTCGTACCCAACAAAATATGAAAGTTGGTTCACATATGCAAAAAGGTAAAACAAAAAAATGGTATTGCCTTCCACCAAATGAAGGATGTGCCCTGTTTTTGTTGTAGTGAACGAATCATTAGTCTTCGAAATTTCAAAAGGGTGGGTCCAAAAATTAACATTATAAAACCAATTGGCCTTATTACTCCGACATTTAAGTTCATATTCGTGAATCCATATAATAGAGAAACTAGATACGTACATATGTAAAGATGATCAAGATTTTCGGATCGAGTTCTTAATGATGATGATGAGTAAACAAACATATATAATCATGCAATGGACTTGATCGTGGCGATGAATAAAAGAATGGCAAACATGAATCCATATCTATCCATATGTATAAAAAGAGACACGAATTTAGGAAGAGTGTTAATTAATTATTTGTTTAATAAAACAAATGTAGTTTGGTTTCTCTTGAAAGCTACAATTTGGCTAACTTCCAAATCCCTTTGATAAAACATACAAATAAAAGAGATAAAGGTAACACATAAGATGAAGTGTGTACAAATTGCTAATTTGTTTTTCACAAAAGAAAAGTAAACTCTAATTTCTTATTGGTTATATAATAGAAGCAAGTTGTGTACATGATTTTGGCTATCTAAGTGAACAAACTAAAGATGGGTTTGTGGATCTTGTTGTCGTGTTACTCGTGTACATGTCCAAAAAGATCACTTACCTTACCATTACATGTTACCACTCTCTATGTCACCATAATGCATTAAATTGGAACGCTAATTTATCTTTAAGTTTCGTATTTTGTTAGGTTCTTACGCGAGGCCATGAGCCATGGCACATTGCCATGTTTCTCAATAATATAGACTATAAAAAGTAAGAATGCAAAGTTACTCTTCTTTTGTACTATTTTTCATATTTTCAACAAACGAAGATATGCTCAATTGCTCATGAAACTTAACCAGAGAATGAAAAGTAATAAATTGATGGGCTCAACATCCAAAGGTAACCTCATTGTGTGGTGCTTTTGGTAGACGACAATGTCAGCAAAATAAAACAAATCATAATCAGATTATTTAATCCATATTTAACATACTAAATCATGTATTGGCTCAAGAGATGCCATTTCTCTTATTTCAATGATTTTGCCTACCTGTCTAGCTCTTGCCACCACATTCTACTTCTACACCTTTTGCTATATACACACGATATTATATGGTCCATTTTCTCATCTTACTACCTTATTTATGAATTTACTTAATTAGAGTCTAATATCCTTATCTACCATTCCTTATCAGAAATGCTATTTTAAGATTTATGGGTGTGTTTTCTCCAAAAAAAATAACATTAACTGACTAATATCTAAATATAAATTTTACAAAAAATTGCAGTTATATATTTTTAGTTGCATTATATTGTTACATATTATAGATTATGAATGTATGATAATATAATTGATATTATGTCAAATAAATTTAATATTGGTAAATATTATAGATTGTATGGATGTTTTTTTGAAAGATGATTTTATAGTTGTTACGATATACACGCATGTATATGTTTTTATATATTCTTCGTTTTGCGGAAGACGGATACGACTTCTTTGGTTGAAAATGTGATATTTGCATATTGCATAAACCTTTGACAAAATAAAAGTGAAGCACTATTATTGTTACTCACGAGAAAGCGTGAAGGTGGACAAAAGAGATAAACTTATTAATCCTGACTTAAGAAAAATAGTGATATTCAGTTTTGTATTTTGCATCTAATCAAATCTACATCTTTGAATATAGCTCTTTTTCCTCTTACACTTTTAATTTCTTTAAAAAAGTTCGCTAGAAAAAAAAAATCATATTTTATTTTCACACATATTTCATCATGGCCAACACACAAATCCAACTATAAGCTAAAGTTACACCTATATAGATATGCATGTACAAGATAAACATTAAATAGAAAGTATTCTAAGCAAAACACATCTCATAACTAACTACTTGTTTAACCTTCACCAGATTACTCGCACTCTAGGTATATAAACTTTTTTTAGTAAAAAAAAAAACTGATGTTTCTGAAGAAGCAAAGTCACATGCACTAACCAACCAAAATATATTATTTCGATTTGGCATCAGATACTTGAGATCGCTTAAGCATCCAGCTAGTCTCAAATGTGAGCAAGTTTTCGTAAGATATATCTCGCAAACCCTATCACATATAAAGCACTCAAACAAAAATTCAAGAACTCGATATTATGCATTGGCTTTTTATATTTTGTGATGCATCTATATATAATTTTGATATATATCTTCTCTATTAAAAGAGAAGTACCATTTACATCTACTACAAAAAAGTCATATTGGACCATTTCATTAATATGATATATTTGATTATTTATATTAATCAATCAAATATATATAATTGGAGGAATATTTTAATAATTAATAAGATATTAGTAATAAATTTGTTGAGAAAATATCTAACAAGATCTTACTAAGAAGTTT